TGCTGAACTCAACAGGGATTTATAACATAACAGAACTTTTCCCACATTGCATGCTGCAAACTGGTCCTTCATCATCACTGCATTCAAGTCTTGGTGATTCAACAAGATTTTATCTTTCATGAAAAGATATAATCTTGCTATGAGCTTTTAAGTAGTTATTGATTACCGTTCTTCCTGAACTGGTGCTCCAGTGCTCTTACAGTAATATTTTTCATCTTTTTTCCAGTCACTGTATCTTACTGCACCTTCATTAGACTATGGGATATTTTCTGTTTTCTCTATCTGTTAATATCTTTCTGCAATAAGACATCAGGTTTATCTATTTTGAGATACCATTTGGAGGCAGATTTTTGAGGCACGCAGTATTTTCACAGGTCTTCTCTGAAGCAGCTTACTATTTTTGAACTGTAAACACATTTGGGCCCAATATTCTGAGAATGGTATCATCAAGACTACACAGAGAGTAGTCTCACATGCAGAGGAAAAATGTGCTTTATCCTGAACAGAAAATTTCATTTTGGGTCTTATGTTCTCTTTTGGAAAATAGAGAAAATATTCAAAATGGTCTCCAATTCCTCTCTGTGCTACACTTTAGTATTTTAAAATTTCTGTCCTCCCATCTCACAGAGTGTACAGTTTCATTACTAGGTTGCTTCATCTTGGCTACTTTATTTCTCACTGGTGATCTTAGCAAGCAAGACACGGAACTTTGCAGTTTTACACAACTAAATGTAAACGGGAGAACGTACTGATCATTTCCACCTTTCCTTATTGGCTTAAAAAAGGCAGCACAGGAATTTACCTGGATTCGAAGGTCAGACATCTGTTTTAAGAGATCCTCAAAGAGCTCTCTGTCAGCTGCTGGAAGTTCTGAAGACAGCACTACTCCCACGTAGGACCCTGGTATCTGGGACATCGTGTCAGGGAACATGTAGACTCCAGTATTGCAGCACAGAACAGGAGACTGGTTACACATCAGAGGATACAACCAGTCACAAACCTAGAAAAGATAAATATATAAAGGAATTAAAGGATCTTTTTAAAAAGAAAGGCATGTAGAACGTACTGATAAGCACCACGAATTTGATTTTCCATAAAGTTTAGTAAGAAAAATAAAAAAGCCTTATGCCATCTTGCAAAAAAAAAAAAAAAAGTAAAAAAGAACCCCCAAACAAAAAAAACCCACCTCACTGTGGAAATACCACTCTTGATTAGTTCTGATAGTCTACTATAGAGAAAATACTAATTTTCACAGAACTATAATTCAGACTGGTAGCCTCTTAACTGAGGTCTAGTCTTGAGGCCTAGGTATAGAAGCAGATGAAACACATTGCCAAACAAGTCGGGCTTCACAGTGCCTGTAAGTTCCTGTAGCTCTCAGGACAGGTTTATATGATAGCATAAAAAGAATGTATGGCTGTTGCTGGCTGACTGTTGAACACTGCTAACACAGGTGGAGGTGAACCAGCAGACCCAAAACCAGAAGGGGTTTTTGTTTATTCCTCCAAATTTCTCCTTCGCTGATGAGAATTTCAACAACCAATCTTAGCAGCAACAATGAGATCCAAAGTCAGAAACCTGACCAGAGACACAACGTACATTACAGAACATGCCCCCATGAAGCAAGCACAGGCTAAAAAATTCAAATGCATCTTTGTTATTTGTAGTTCAGAATCTGGACTAACATGGGCCCTCAAATTCCAAATTATCAGTTGTGCTAACTGCAATACCTTATCACTGATTGAGACTGAAGCAAGTAGCGCACAAGCCCATTTTACACTGATGTGTTACAATGGGTTTATCAACATGTCTGTTCTATGTGAAGAAAGGGAAGTTAATTTTATTAAATGAAAAGGAATGTTAAACCAGCTCCTTTAGAAAATGGAATTCACCAGAACAGTCAGCACTTGAGAACCCTGGGAAGACACAGAGGCCATTTTCTCAGAAAAAGTCATAAAAGCATTTATTTGCAGAAAAACATTTTTCCAACAGATTTCTTATCCTTCATAGTGTCACATGCAGATTTAGGCTCAGAAGAGCAAGAACTTCAGTAGATTACTTTTTAAAGTTTTATGACAGTTTTTGAAATATAATTAAAAGAGAAAATTATTTTTCTCTTACCTGAAGAAATGCAGGTGGACGATTCTGGGCCATCCCACTATCTGTATCCAAGAACTTCACAATGCGTAGATATCCAGGATATGAAGGAGCACTAACCTGCCCATCAGGAGTCACAAAGAATATCTGTACTCCTTGGGGAATCAAGATCAGCTCATCTGCATCCACCCCTAGGTTTTCAAGGGGGGGTGGCTGAGTACACTTACTGTAGTAGTCCTCACCTACAGAAGAAAACTCCCCAGAGTCTGTGCCATAAGACACAGTAAAATGGCCATTGGTAGCTTGAGGAGTATAAGCAGGAGGTGCTTCATTTGCAGGTGGCTGACTCGGTACAAACAGTGACTTAGGGGCTGGGGGTCTTTCTGGCTTTTCTTTGGAAGGAATGGATGGGTACAACTTGGGCACCCCAGCAGGGGCATCCATTCCAGCAGGACCTGCTTGTACAGGTGGGGCATTTTGTTCTAGAATGCAGAGTCGAGTGCGAACATTTTGGAGAGTCTCCCTCATCTTCTGTTGCATTTGCCTGGCAGATTCCCACTGGGCCCCTACGCATGCAGGACCCTGCAATGGAATGCTAAGTCCTCGGAGCAAGTGGTCAAGTCCTTGCTTATAATAGTTTCTTGCCTCTTCCTTCTGACCTAGTTCATCTGTACTCAATCCTTTATTGATTAAAATAAAGGCTTTCTTGTACTCTTCATTGATGGCTTTAATATTTGCATCTTCTTGTGTAACCAGATCCTGTAGTTGTTCCATTACTGCAAATTGGAATAGATTAGTAAGGACATTCACAGATGAAGCCAAAATTCACCTTAGAATAAAATGTCTTCTAATTGGTTTCTAACAATGACTATACTTTGTGTATTAGCGAAAAGCTATCTAGTTGCTTGGTACAGTGTCTGATATGTTACGGTTATCTCCTATTAACCTTTGGATTTGGAATATATGATTCCAAGTTAGCAAGGAATTTAACTATCACATCTAGTTACATCACAGACAGATATTTCTTAAAAACTAAGCATCAGAAGAATATGGATATGACTGATATTAAAAGTTCCATCTTAAAAAGTATTAACATCAGTAGCAAATGATGGACTAAAAAAAATTACTAAAAATCTAACTTTACGTTTGATAATATTTTCCAAAAAATCTCTAGGGTATTAAAAAAAAAATCAGTTAACATTTTGTCTATTTAAATAAAGGCTGAACTTACAAACTCAGTACATTTTTATTCAAATTATTTTAGGGAAAGCAGTCAACAGACTTAAACAAACAGAACTGGGAAGAAATACTTCAAACAGTAAAAGCTATGCCTTACAAAATGAAAACAGGGAATTACTTATTTCTTTTACAGTGTTTATAAAGTAAGAAAGATGACTGGTGTTTTCCCTTTGCTCCCCAGGTGACAAAAACCTGAAGTACTGATATATATAAAGGTTGCAGGTTCTATTTCTATTTTGGAATGTATTCCTCATACAGCCTCTCATTTCAAAAATGTATTCCTCATTTCAAAAACTGAAGAGCAGAAAAGAATCAAATAGGTTTATTTGAACTTTAAAATGCATAAAACCCACTGTTTGAACTGAATGCAAGTCTTCAGTCTTGGCCAAATGCAGCAAATACAAATCATTCTTGGACTAAGATTGTGTTTACAACAAAAAATGTAAAAAAATTCCAGTGAGGTTTTTTGCTGACAGTGTTGAGAGGCATTGCCAATTCAGAAAAGTCAGAGTAAAGATCATGGACAACAAAAACAGGATACTATTTAAAAATGAAAGAGCATGGATTTTTAAGAAAAACAATGATTCTGTACTGTAAGCTGGATCAAAGAAAGGAGAAAAATCTAGAGACATCTGTCAATCATAATGATAGCAAACTACAGAAAACATGGGGATAAGTAAAATCCAAAGTGTGAAAAGAAAAATACTTCCATTACACGTACAGAAACATTAATGCCACTGTACAAAGCACTGGTGAGACCTCACACAACATTGAGCCACAATCAAGAAAGCTGCAGCAGAGCAGGAAGTGGCATGCAGAAGGCTACTGAAATTCCCTGGTGAATCAATTACTTTTCCCTAGATACAGGTATATTTGGCTTATTTTCTTAGCCAATAAATCAAAGGCTAAAAGATTGGATTCATCTCTATAAATAAACTGGATGAAAAGAAGTAAGTACATCAGGAAAGAAGAAAAGAACTACTGAAATCCAAACTTTTATTAAAATCCTGAAATAGTACCTACATTTAAAGTTTATTTAATGTCTTTTCTTGTTTTAGTCTAACTATCAATAAAGTAAAAAAAAAATATA